TAATCCACCTGCCAAGTTTTTCCCCGACTCGCTTAACTTCTACGGGCTTCTCGGGTCATCCTCACTACTTGCCTTTCCACCTATTTGTATCACCAGCAAACTTGGCTACAGTACATCACTTTTGTCATCCTGGTCATTATAATATATTGTAAGTAACTGTTCCCAGCATTGATACTTGTGGCATTCCACCCTGAAAATGCCCCAATCAAGTCTTTCACCTGTAAGTTAGCCAAACCTCTGCTCATGCTCCAATACAATGGGCTCTTTTATTATGTAGCTGAACATGTGGTACCTTGTCAAACGCGTTAGAGAAATCCAAACATATTACATCCATACTTGGCTTTTGTACATCCTGCTTTTAACCTACTCAAAAGAATTCTAATAAATTTATTAGGCATGATTATTTCCCCTATCCAAAACCATGCTGACTATTTGATCACATTACATGCAGATACTCCGCTATTACATTTTGTTACAGACAGTAACATTTTAAAACTTCGACAAATCTTTCTTGCAGTCCATCATCTTATGGCCACATTTAGACAGAGTTGGAGGCATGTTGGCAATGTTAGTCAAAGATAAGCGCTGTATAAAACTAGAAAACTAACATTCTCAAAATAAACTTCCAATTTCACTTGAATAGTTCAATTTATGACAGTCATTCTCAATGTAGCCTCAAATGTTTCACATCTTCAGCAGTCTATAAATAACAGACATATATTCAGTTCAAATCAGTTAAAAAGTATCATAAAAAGAGATAAAAATGGAACCAGAAAACTGTTACCCAAGAACCAATATCTAAAAAGTACTGACATTTCCCAAAGTTACAGTCCCGCTCAGGATGCATCTCTCAGACACAAATGTCAGAAAGAAATATCTTATGTACAATTAGACAAACATTGGTAGTTCAGTGGATTACAGAACAAGATGGTCGATGTTTGAAGAAAAATATTTCTGCAGAAATACACTCCAGCCAATTGGTGTTATAATTTTTGATCTGACAATGGGACAGTAAATGTCAACAACAGGACAAGTACAAAGTCACTAAAGTAATTCGAACCAATCTTCAGTTACTTTTAAATACTAGCAATAACTTCAAATTGTGTCATTTTGCTCACAGCACAAATTGTGGTGTGCTGCACCATTGCCCTGCCATCCTTTTAAAAAGCAAGCTGAAGTCTTGATTAAGCAATTCAGGACATACAGGCAATTAACACGCCCTGCTCAGCAAAGATTTGCTTATAGTTATCAGCACATTGCTGCAAGAAGTATGCACTCAATATTTAGAAAGCAACACAGCTTATTTCAAAGCATCTTTGTATTTTTTTCAGGGTTTTCAATGTACTTTGGTGCTAATAAAAACTTACCACAGCAAAATTTTTTTTATATTAAATATGTCATTATGGATCAATTACTTGCAATGTGTCTGTAATTGTACGCATAGTTTAGAAAAGCACAAACAAAATCTTAGCCATGGAGCAATACACACTGATCAAAACAACAAACATCAGGAAAGCTAACAAGAAGCTTAGTCAAAGAAGTGGCTTTTGAGGAAGGTCAACGGTGGAGAGGTACAGTCAGGGAAATTCCAGGCAATAGGAGACACCTCTGGAATTGCTACTCTAAAGTAGCATGGAGGGAGTGATTGGTCACAAGGCTGAGAGTGTGGGGAGGAACAGTTGGTGGAGATTAAAGAGACAACAGTGGGTGGGTGTAGGAGGTCACAAAGAATAATACAAAAAGGAGAATTTTAGAACTTTGACATTCACAAGACTGACTGGTGAGCAGAATTTGGTGCAGCTTTAGGGTAAAGGCAGCAAGATTTTGGTTGAGTGAATAATGAGAGACACGCAAAGAATACAAAAGTCAAGAGCACAGGTGATGAATTCAACTTTTCAAGGTGGACTAAAGCAAGCAATGAGTGTTAATATGGAGTTTTTGGACATAAAACGGATATTGGGTCAGAATATCAGTTAAGGATCAAACAGAATGCCAAGGTTTCAAACAACATAATCAGACATGAAACGAAGGCTGGGTTGGGCTGCTGAAACAGAGTTTCTGATGGGAACCAGGAAAATCGGGCAGCACGGTGGGATGCGCTGAGGGTCAGTGTGGACTTGTTGGGCCAAAGGGCCTGTTTCCACATTGTAGGGATTCTATTAGAAAAAATGGCTTCAGTTTTCACAAATGATTAACCGAGAAAAAATTCCCACACCTCCAAGGTTTGTCAGTCCAGCAACAAGGAAGCAGTGGGGGTCAATACAGATGATGAAAGCTTGGAGCTGGGTATCCCGAATGTGTATACTGGAACATGACCCCTACTCTTTGTACAAAGTTACCACAATCAGGCAGTATAAGAGGAGGAAGTGATCAACAATACATTCTTCAAAAGGTTTGTCAGATATCTCACAAACCAATGACAAAATTTATGATTCAATTTAATCAACATTATCTCTTACCAAGCACCGATAATAAATCATCATGTTTATTGTACCACAAATGCCCAAGTTTTACTGCTAAACAACAAGACCAAGAAATACCATTTCACACAGTAACATTATAGATTGTTATGACTGCAAACAATTTGACCTAGGAGTTATCACAGTCCAAAATTCTTGTATTATCTTTTAAAGAACCCAAAGACTCCATATTTACTGCTTTGATTTACGCAAGATGGCCTCCAATTTCCTGTTTGGCATTTATTTCCTTAAATTTAGAACTTCAGGTAACTTAAATTTAATGAAAGACAAACTATTTGCTTATTCCAAAAAAAAAAATTGGAGTCAAAATGTTAAGTACAATAAGGAAATTCTTCAACTGCAACCATCTACATAAATCTCATTTTCCTTTGGCAATAGCCTTGGCTCAGCAACAGCACGTTCATCTTAGTCACAAGGTCAAGTCTTATGACAGAAACTGAAGCACATAATCTTAGCTGAAAATCGAGCAGGGAAAAAAAAGTGTTGCCTCTTACTCAAATAAAAGTAGTAAACTAAAGCTCATCTTCAGAAATACAATCTGTATTTTAAAAGGGTGGAAGAGGTCTCCGCACAACCTGGCCAACATTTAATGCCAAACCAAAAATCACCAAACTGGAAAAATGCTTCGGCAAGTTCTAAGGCAGTGAAAGACTCAAAGCAATTCAAATTGCTTATTCCCTTCCACATGTGTATAATTCTCTTTTGAAATGTGTTATGGTGCCATCTCATCAGCTATTTGAATTGAGCAGTGCCATTTTATAAAATAAAATCTTGATTTTTTTGCCTATTAAGAACGTGGACATTAAGCAGCATGTTAAAAATTCCGTATGCACATCAAATGAATGGCAAAAACAAAAATAATTCTTAGAAAACGACAGCCAAGAAAGTAATAGTTTTGACACTGGAACTGAAATGCTGCAGAGATCTCTTCTAGTGGAGGGCAGAAGAGGGGTTGACATAGGCACAGTTGGATCACAGATGTCATGGCATGGGTACAGATGAGCTACAGCAAATACGCAAGAATGCAGCAGGGCAGATGAACGTGGCACACCATGACAGCAGATCTCCTGGCAAAAGCAGCTGCAAACAGCATGAGTATTGACAATACCAAATTTGCTTCCTCATTACTACTGTCAAAATTTACTATTGTGAAAATTGAAGATTTTCACCTTAACCTCTGTTCCAGTTAAATAAACCCCAATTCAGCAAGCATTTTTCATAAACACATTTTCCCATCTCACTCTTTAAAAACCCAAAATGTTAATCCCTTTTAAATTGCAAACTTCATTTCTTAATCCTATGACAAAGTGACATAACTCGTTCACGGTACCAACTTATCGCTCTCACTCTTTGCGAAATAGCCGGACCTGCTTTCCATACTAAATGCATGGCACTCAGCAACTAGCAACTGCAGGACCACTGTCATACAAAGCTTATTGTTCCTTTCCAGCAAGGAATGAAACAAAGTAACTTTTTTGAGAATCACTGTACACTCAGCAATCTAAAGTTTAAAATGAATTTTGACACGGATCACTCACAATTTTGAAACTTTCGGTGGAATTGGGTGTAGTTGTTTCTTCGTCCCTCTGCTCCAAAAAATAAGCACAAAAAGGTGTGCAGCGAACCTTCAGCATTACTCAAAATCATTCCTACAATTTATAATATTTAAGAACAAAAGTTGTTGGGAGATAGAAATATTCCCTAGACATAGTAGGGTAAAACAGACTAAAACCAACAACTGATCTCATATTTGTTTTGGATCCAAAAAGCGTCCTGCACTATTTTGTCTCTGTCGTCGTTTGCGCTTTACAACAAAAGACCGAGATTAATAATGAGAAAACTTTATAGCATGATTCTGCGGCACATCTTATTTTTGACGGGAGACGAAAAGAAGGGCTGTATGACCTCTGCACCCACTGTTAGGAATTCTGAAAATCTTGTGATTTGTCTGTGAAGACTACGTGTCTTAGGAAGGTGCGAAGCAGTTTTTACAAACAAATCAGAACACATCTTTTGCAGTTATGTTTTCTGTTAATGAAAGCCAAGTCAAATCTATTCCTAATCAAAGCGCAGTAGTGCCGTCAAGTCCAGGAGTTACATCCTGCAAAATAAACCAATGATTCCCACCCTCCCCCACCTTCTGTGCCATGCACGATCGGTTTAATCCGCAGCATTTAAATCTCGGACTAATGACGAAATTCAAATATTTGCAGACTTGCTAGACAATACACAAACCAATCTCTCGCACGGACACACACACACACACACACACACACACACACCTTCCGGGAAAAAAAATCGTGGTCAGAAAGCCAAGCGGTAGACTATTTCAACACTTGTCTTCTTAGGCCTACCCGAAACATGGGAGTATGTGCTTCGGTAATATCCGCAAAGCACACGCTTGCCCTCGGCTGCCATCGCCTCAGCAGGCGCAATATCCAGCGAGCCCTCGGGGTCGCACGGAGGGCGGTCCAAATCCCTTTAAACAATTCACATCGCTCCCAGACTTTGTTTCCTTACCAGACGCAGGTTCATCGCTTCCAAGACGGGGTTGAAAAATGTCGCCGGCCACACCGTTAGTCGCTATTATCCACTCTGCATCTTAATAGGCAAGATCTGCAACGTTTCACTCTCTCCATCGACATCAACTCAACAGCCATCCATCACGCGCTTGACGTTTGGAAAATACCAGCAGCAGCTTTCCAACCGCCAATCCAACCGCGCTATCCAATCTGACCAATCACCAGTCATTCCCTCCTACCCTCCGCCCCCACAATCCGTCAACTGACCAATCCATATCCTCAGAACAAACGCCGCTTGAGTGAATCGCCAATCAGATAGTTAGGGCTTGAACGGCTATTTTCAATTGGTCTATACTTTACCTGCTTCTGCGAACAGCTAGTCAGATCTGTACTCCCGGAGCAGAGACTGGTTCTTTTTCTGAGCAAGTTACAGCGGAGGCTTGTAAACTGTTCGGTGCATTTGTTGCTTCGTTTCCATTGAAGCAGCGGTGAAGAGTAAAAACTGTCCAGATAATTTCATAAACACAGACAGTTTAGATATTTAAAATCAGCATGGAATGAGGTCATTCGGCCCATATTCTCCATGCTGGCGCTTTGCAAGAAACAATTCAATTAGGTATGCCCCCCTGCCTTTTTAACTATAGCGCCGCACTTTGTTTCCCTTACTTATATAATGACCCAATTCTCTTTCAATGCTATGATCGAACCTACGCCCATCACACTCTTGGGCAGTGCATTCTTAAAAGGTTTAACTCAAGTTTTGACATTGTTTCATTTGCTGATTAGCTTTAATTTCGGGTTTTGGGCTCTTCCACAATAGGAATTCTTTTGCTCTATCTACTCTGTCACACTCCCTCATCATTTTGAATATGCCCATCAAATCTCATCTCAACATTCGCTTTGCCAAGACCCAATTTCTCCAGTCTAACTATGTAACTGAACTTTCTCTGCTTGGAATGATTCATGTTAACTTTCCTGCATGCTTAAAGTCTTCCAAAAGTGTAGTGCTCACAACCGGACATAATACTGAAACGTGTACAGGTTTATCATAACTTGCTTGCTGTTGTACTGTATATTTCTTTCAATAAAGCGGAGGATCCTGCATGCTTTATTAAACATTTTTTCGTGCTGATCTACCACATACAATTATTAATTGCACATATACTGCAGGTCCTTCTGCTCCAGCATGGGCAATGGCAACAAAGTTGGAAAAATAGTGAAAACGAAAACATCAGAATCTTGACTTCGAGAAAATGTAATTCTCCCGTTGAACTTAAATGATGAGTTTAGAATCTCACCACTGCGCAGCGACATCTTTCCCAGGTATTTGCATCTCATTATTAAGCCAACTTACTTTGTTCCATGCCTTCCTAAGAATCTAGATGGTACAAATTCCAGACATGTAAATAATTACCATGATTACCATTCTCAGCAAACTTTCGTCCACAGAAGTCAGCATTGGCAAACCACAAGCTTGCACCATCATGGACGCTCTGGATTGAAATCTCACACCTCTTCAATCCTTTAACGTTTGATTTTGGAGCTCGGGGACAATATGATTTACATTCTTCTACAAATAACTTTATATTCAAAGAGACACGTATCTACATATAAGGCATCTTACGGCTCTTAGCTTGCTTTCTTAGTACTAACTCGCTTTGCACTTAGAGGTTTCTTGCTTTTGCATTCCATTGCTTTTTATCACAGAAAGGCAGGCAGCTTGTCATGGTTCGGAGTACTGAACAGTTAAGGGGGTGTCTGTACGCCACCAGGCTACATCAACACCACACCAACAGCATGTGTCATCAGATTAAGCAGCAAACACACTGCATGTGCTTTTAGGCTTGCCTTTTTGACATTTTAATCAAATACCTTTCTATGTAAAAGGTGTCTATTTTGGAAAATCAAAGGGGACCAGCTCTCTGTGGGGTGGAGGAGACTATAGTCAGTCAAGGGGTCCAATAAGCCTCATCCACTTCAAACGCAGGGTGTTATCCATAGTCAGTTAGGCACTTAGCCATATCAGAAGATTAGTGTCCTTGCAGAGTGTGGATTGGGTCATGGTCAGTCCTGCAAGTCAAGTGCAACCGCTTTGGAGAATACAGGTCAGGGTTCTGAGATGACATCAGGCTGGGGCTGTAGATATGAGGGGCTAGGGAAAGCAATGGTCACAAAATGCTGATGAGTATTCTTTAAGTCCTGACAAGTTGTTATACTTTAGGATACAGCATTAAACAATAAATTATTGGAGAATGTAACAAATGTAATGTAATATTTGTGAGAGATTTTAATCTTCATACAAACTTGAACAATCACATTGCCAAATGGAAGAACTCATCTGGAAGTTCAGTTTGCAGAATGTCTTCCTTAAGCAATATATTATGGAACAAATGAGCTAAAGCTGCTTCAGATCTAGCATTGTGCAATGAGGCAAGATTAATTTTGTAATATCTTAGCAAAAGATCCACTGGGAAGTAGTAATCCTAATACTTTTGAACTCCACATTAAGTTTGAAAACAACATACTTAGAGCATTAACAACTCAAACATAAAGACAATTACGGTAATGTGATGGAATAAAAGCTTGAGATTGATTTTGTAAAGCAAAATATATGGGGGGGGTAAATGAAAAATGGGAAATATTTAAATAAACAATTTCTATTGTTTAAAATTGTTAAAATAATATTAAAATAGCAAAAAGGCAATCCTAAAAGCTTTGCATCTTAATGCACAAACCATTCAGAATAAGGTAAACGGTGCAAATTGAGGTAAATGGGCATGATCCATTTGCCATTCCAGAGGCATGGTTACAACGAGATCAAACTCAGAACACAAAGATATTTGACTTTTTGGAAAGGCAGGAGGGAAGAAAAAGGTTGTAGGGTAGCACAGTTCATAAGAGGAGTTAAGAGAAATGAGAACTGTTGTAAGAGGTAATCTACACTCAGATGATGTAAAGTCCATTTGAGCGGAGTTAAATAACAACAGCTATACAAAACCCTGGTTCGGCCACATCTGGAGTATTGTGTCCAGTTCTGGTCGCCTCATTACAGGAAAGATATGGAAGCATTGGAAAAGGTGCAGAGGAGATTTACCAGGATGCTGCCTGGAATGGAGGGAAGGTCTTACAACGAAAGGTTGAGAGAGCTGGGGCTTTTCTCTTTAGAACGACGAAGGATGAGAGGTGACTTCATAGAGGTGTACAAAATGATCAGAAGTATAGATAGAGTGGACAGCCAGACAATTTTTCTTAGGATGGAGGTAGCTATACGAGGGGGCATAGTTTTAAAAGTGAGTGGAAGTAGATACAGGGGAGACATCGGAGGTGGGTTCTTTACTCAGAGAGGTAGGGCGTGGAATGCATTGCAGGAAAGGGTAGTGGAGTTGGCCTCATTAGGGGCATTTAAGCGGATATTAGATAGGCATGTGGATGATAGTGTAAGGTAGGAGTGGAGGTTAGATAGACCTCAGGTTTAGGGTAAAAGTTCGGCACAACATCGTGGGCCGAAGGGCCTGTACTGTGCTGTATAGTTCTATGATCCATGTTATAAGGGAAAGAAAACACTGGGAGGAGTACCGTATGGGCCCCCAAATAGTAGCCACACTATAGGAAAGTGTATAAAGCAACAAATAATAGGAGTACATGAAAATAAGAGAACAATAATTATGGGTGACTTTAATCTTCATGTTGATTAGGATAACCAAGGTGGAAAGGGTGGCTACAGCAACAAATTTATAGAGTGCATTAGGAATAACTTACTAGAGCAATATGCCATGGAGGAAACCAGGGAACATTCTATCCTGGATCCAGTAATGAATAATATAAAGCAAGTTTAACAAATTACCTCGCAGTAAAAGACCTCCCGAGGAAGTAATGATCATACCACAATAGAATTTAATATTTAGTTTGAGCATGAGAAACTTGGGTTGAAAACAACTGTGTTTAACTTAAATATAGGGCATTATAATGAAATGAGGATAGAATTAGCTAAAGTGAACTAGGTAGATTAGCACAAAAGACAGTAAGCATGCAGTGGTAGACATTTAAGGAGATAATTCATGACCCTCAGCAAAATGATATCCCATGAAGGAGAGATTCTTAAGAGAGGGATAGACCAAGCATGGCTAACCAAGGAAGTTAAGGAAGGTATAAAATTGAAAGAAAAAAACATATAAAGAGGGAAAAGTCAATGGTAGCCACAAAGCCTAGGATAAATTCAGAAACAATAAGAGAGGGCAAAAAAGATAATAAAAAGACATAAAATAAACTGCAAGGACAAATTAACGAGAAATAAAGAAAGGTGACAATAAGATCTTTTTAAAAAATGAAAATAAACAGAGATGAAAGTGAACTTAGATCCCTTAGAAAATTAACCTGGGGAGATAGTTATAGGGAACAAGGAAATGGCAGAGGAGTTAAACAGATATTTTGCATCAGTCTTTACAATAGAAGATACTTTAAAAATCACATTATTACTAAAGAATTTGGAGGAGGAATTAGGTACATTCATCACTACTAGAGAACTAGACAAACTAATGGAGCTAAAGGCACTCAAGTCCCCTGATCCCTGATGGTTTGCATTCTAGGATCCTAAAAGAAGTAGCTACAGAGATAGTGAATGTATTGGTTGTAATTTTCCAAACATCTTTGAATTCTGGAGAAGTATCAGAGGACTGTAAAACTGCCAATGTGACAGCCCTATTCAAAAAGGGAGAGGGAAAATGTGGTTAACGGTTGGCCAATTAGCCTAATACCTATTGTTGAAAAAGCAGTGTAATCAATTATTAAGGAAGTAATAGCAAAACATTTGGAAAATCGTAATCTAATCAAGCAAAGTCAACATAGCTTCTTGAAAAGGAAATTGTGTATGACTAATCTATTAAAGATTTATGAGGAAGTTACAATCCAGGTAGATAGAGGTGAACTAGTAGAAGTATTATATTTGGACTTCCAAAAGGCATTCAACAAGTTACATCACAAAAGGCTAAATCATAACATAAGAGCCCATGGTGTTGAAAGTAGTATACTGGAGTGAATACAGAATTGGCTAGTGAGAAGCAAACAATGAGTGAAGATTAGGTGTTCTTTTTCAGGTTTTCAGATTAGAACCCCATTGGTCATGGTTGCCATCAGGGTTAGTGCTGGGATTGCAACTGTTTACAATATATATTAATGATTTG